TCGCCGCCCCCGTGGCCAGACTCGGAGTTGCCTACTCCGCCGCCCCCGCTGTTTCCCACATCTCCTATGCCTCCGCCTACGCCAACTACGGCTGGTAGATCGACTGACACCAAACACCTCGTTATTTATTGAAAAAATAAAGTTGTACATAAATTATAAAAAGATTTTTTTTAAAGTGAAAACCGAAAAAATGGAGACGAATTTTGAATTTGCCGCGCTGTCATTCAGCTGTCAATTCAGCGTCCTTCAGTCTCCCCCAACAAAAAATAAATCGAAAAAAAAGTGAAAATTTTCATGGAAATGTTTGAAAACCAGTAAATAACAAAACAATGCCACTAAAATCGCGCTACTAGATCGCCCTTGCTCTCCCCTTCACTGCTTCCAGTAAAAAAATAAAAATAACAAACGCACATAACCTCAAACTGAAAAGATGGTAAGAAAACGCTCAAGAAAGTCCGAAAGCAGCGAGGACAACGACAGCGACAGTGATGTAGAATTCAACGTAGAAGAGCGTTCGCAGCCAGCCCCCAAGAAATACAGTCTTCGGGAGCGCAAAAAAGCCCCCTCGTTGACCGCCGATTTCGACTATTACGGTCTCGACGAAGAGGAGGCCGAGACCCGCTCTTCCGATGAGGATTTCAAGATGGAGCCCGATGGAGAAACGGCATCGGAACCAGATGTGGACCCTGCGAACTCAGAAGGTACCCCATTTTGTGTGAAACAAGTGAAGTTTGGTGTATTGTTGGTTGCCTATAATGTTATCCTGATGCAACTTTTGTTCAAGGTCTGATCGACTTTGAGGACATAATCCGGGCGGATATTGTGGTGAACAAGAACAAAATCGATTACGACAATCTGATCCAGAAGTCGGAAATAAGGTTAACACAGCCGAAGAGGCGAGGCAGGAAACCCAAAAACTCACCGGAGGAGAAGAAAGAACCTGATGATAGTCTAGTGTGCGAACCGAATTTGGAAACGTTGTCCCATTTGGAAAACAGCGATAATGCGCCAGAAGAGAAAAACGGCGATGTAACTAATGAGATTCTTCAACCAGAGATACAATTCTGTGAAGGTGAAGATGCGCTCGAAGGGGAAAAAAGTGAAACTGATCCTTTAGTAATTAAAAATGCACATTTGTTAGAGGCGGCGGTGATTAATGTGCCCCTTGAAGGGGGGCAAAACAGCAAAAGTGAACCTGTGTTTATTAAAAATGCAGATTTGGTGGACACACTGATAGCCAAAGCCTTCCCTGATGAGGGAATACACCAAGAAGACGACGACGTTATTGTTCTAGGGGAGCTTAAACACGACGTCATTGTGTTAGATGACTGAAACCATGTAAATAAGATGTAAAATAGCCCATTTTTTATTAGTGTTTCGGTTTTTATATTTATTGAGTTTCTGGTGAGGTTAAAATGATGTGAGATTCAACTTAATTAGTCATCAGGTAAAAAAGCAAGTTGATCGTGTTAAGAGATTTTGTTCAATAAACAAGAATATATTATAAACCTAATGTTTATTTAATATAAATACAGGATAATTATCGTTTTTATTCGTCATTTTTCAATAAAATAACCTCAACAACTTCTTCATTTTTGCATCGGTTTTTACGACTGGGAGACGTAAACCCCCCAAGTTTACCTTGTTCTATAAGTCTCGTTTCCTTAAGGACCTGTCTATAAATTTTTTCTGATACGCCAGTTGCAAGCATTAACCTTTGCTTGTAGTGCGCAAGGGGCACAAGAGGAGTCCCACTCTCAGCCTCTTTCATCATAAATTTTAACACATTTGCAATAACTTCCCGACTTTGGGCAGTAACTGCTTTCCCCCGAACCCCCACCTGCTTTTCGGGTTCCATTTTGCGGTTTTTAGTAACTTAACTATTTATACATAAAAAAAAATAAAAAAACGTAAAATTTACCGATTCATGGGGGTTATAAACTCACTGACACCAACACAAGTAAACAAAATCCACCATATTATAATTGTCGACTGTCAATACCACGTGGTCAAATTAATTTAATTCGTTTGGTGATTGGTTGAATTTTGATAAACAACCAATCAGATTTCAGGATTTTGAAGGTAATCACGATTAACTTAGTAATTCATTTTTTTTAATGATTTAAATTTTTCTAATACTGTCCAGGATTTACGTTTTTTGCAAAACTGCTCAAAAACGCTGGAAAAAAGCAAAAATAACATTATTTTATTTGGTCTAATTCTGTAATTTTTTTGGGCTCTTTTTAATAAAATTTTACTACATATTTACGTTTTTACTTGAAAAACATGCTAAAATATTTGATTAAGACAAAAACAATGACTTAATTTGGTGTTTTTTTGGTTTGTTTTAGCAAATTCTTGCAAAAAAACTGAGATTTTAGTCCAAAAATTTGCATAAAGACGTAAAGTAAAGTAACACTTTTTTTCGACCAAAATTTGTGTTTTTCGTCTTTTTTAACAAAATTTTACTCAAAAACGAGCTAAATCGAATGAAACACACAAAATAACATAATTTCGATTTATTTTTGTAATTTTTAGACATGTTTTGACCTCCAAAATAATGAGTTTCTGGTTTAAAAAGGTACCAAACCGAGCAAAACCAGCTAAAATGATATCAGTTTCAACCCAATTTGGTCATTTATTAGTCAGTTTTTAGCAAAAATTTGAATGTAGTTAAAAAGCGAGCAAAAACACTCTAAAAACGCAAAAATAACAATAGCTTTGGCCCCATTTGATAAATTTTCGGTTTGTTTTTAATCAAATTTTGCAAAATAGTTTTGTTTCTGACTAAAAGACATACTAAAACGCTCAGAAAAGACCAAAATAATGTACTTTTTGACCCATTTTGGAGATTTTTTGACCTTATTGCATAAAATCTCATTAAAAAAAAACACAAAAAATATTTCTCGGTTTTTTGACTTATTTTTGAAAAAAATTGGCATTTGAATTTCTGGATAAAAAATCAAATTAAATAAGTTAATTTTATTAAAGATTTGGACGAATTTTCGATAAAAAAATATTTCAAAATACCTATATTAATTTTTTGCTGCAACAACAGCTACATTTATAAAAAATCATCAAAAATTAGAATTTTTGCAAAACAGTTTTTGCATAAAAATCACCAAATCTGGTGAAATTTCACTAGTGTCGGTTATCACGTGATCACAAGTGGCCAAAATTATCCCAAGAAAATTCCCAAACCGGAAAATTTCCACCAAGTTTTCGGTCTTAACACGAAACAAAGTGCGTTTTTCTCGTTGGTTAATTTCGCATTTTCCGCCCTTATGCCCAAGAAAGACCCGTGCAAGGTATTCGCTTGTAGAATCCAAAAGTGTCTCGAAGGTGTGTCCTAACCTAAAATTCCACCGGGTTATGTAATTTCCTCCGTAGATAACAAATTCCAAGAATCTGCCTGTCAGTACGCCATCGAGGACCTCCACAACTGCTGCCGCAAGTGGAAGAACCAAAGCCTCGTCTGCGACGGTATCAAAATCGCCCCAACCCCCAAGGCGTGATGAAACAAAAAACTCTCTTCAAAGACAGACCGCTCCTTTACAGGTACCCCCGCACGTGTGCTGGACTTTTAACCGCCGGTGGAGTTCTCCTCTTCTTCTCGAAACCGATTTACGACTTGTGTTTCCGTTCCTACGACGCCGTTGACCTCGAGGAGTTGCGAAGGACCCACAGGACACGATTCGACAAGACATAATGGAATCGGTGCAGAAAGCCAAACAGCGGTTCCGTCACTACCCCGTGATCTTAGCAAAGTGTAGTAAAGAAGCCACAAACTACGCCGCTTGTGTCTTAAAAAAGGACAACGTGGGCTTAAACGACTGCAAGGAGGAGTTCGGGAGGTTCAAAACGTGTCTCCAGAAAACAGCGGCGAGTTTAAAAACTAGACTCTAGTGTAGTAAAATGGCCAAATTCATTAGTCTTGATTATAAAACGCACTTGCTAGTGTCTTTAATTGTTAGGTTGGCACTAGTGGCATACGGGGCCTACCATGATCAAGTCTCCTCAGTCCCCTACACCGACATTGACTACAAAGTCTTCACCGACGCCGCAAGACACGTCCTCGACCACAAATCGCCCTACGAGAGACACACTTATCGGTATTCCCCCCTCGTGGCCTACCTCATGGTCCCCAACATCACTCTTCATCCCTGTTTTGGTAAAATTCTCTTCTCCCTAATTGACTTAATCGACGCCATCTTGATCCGAGCAATAGTCAAAACGACGCTTCGTGAATACTTCAAACACACCGGGGAGCCCCAGAATTGCATCACGGGGCGCAGCCGCAAAAAATCGAAGAAGAAAAACGACCAAAGTGACGCCACTGCGAATTTGAGTCTAGTAGTCTGGCTCTACAACCCTCTAACTCTAGCAATCGCCACCAGAGGGAATTGCGACTCGATTGCGGTTTTTTTCGTGTTGGCAACACTTTATTTATTGCAATGTCAGAAGAAATTTTTCTTAGCCGGCTTGATCCACGGCATTTCGATTCATTTCCGGTTATACCCCATTGTGTACAGTCTCACATTTTACATGTATTTGAGCAAATTCTCATTCTATTCGATTGAAGACAGACGCAAGAGGGAAATCACCGATAACAGGGTTGCCACCCGTAAGCCGGAGAAAAAAACAATTTTCAAGAGAAAATATCTGCTTTATTTGGTCCCCAATTTCGACCAAATTCAGCTAGTCCAAGGCTGTGTCTTGTCACTTTTCTCCCTGATTGGCATATTTTATTTTCTCTACGGCTACAAATTCATCCATGAGACATATATCTACCACTTTACCCGCAAAGACACCAGACACAACTTCTCGCTTTATTTTTACCTCCAGTATCTCACTGCGTGGATCAAGAATATTGGGATTTGGCAAAAAGTCTTAGTGGTGTTACCACAAGTTGTTCTCCTGTTGGTTTTTTCCTTCCGTTACGGTTTGAATCGTTTTTCGTTGAATTTCTCAGTCTTGACCCAAACCATAGTCATGGTGACTTACAACAGTGTCTTAACTTCGCAATATTTCGTATGGATTATGGCAATTTTGCCGTTGTGTCTTTGGCAAATCCGGATGAGTCTTAACAATGCTGTGTTTCTGGTCGTTGTGTGGTTTGCAGCACAGGGGGCGTGGCTCCTCCCGGCCTATTTTCTGGAGTTTCACGGCCAAAACACCTTCCTGTTTATTTGGATTCAAAGTGTGTCGTTTTTCTGTGCCAATATTGCGATTTTGGGGAGACTTATCATGTTTTTTGCGCCGATCAAGAAAGAAATGTAATTGTGTATGTAGTTAAGTATAGTGGGTAAAAACTAGTACACACCTGGGCGGAGCCTGCGCCCAAGTGTGTACTTCTAGCTTTTACCCCACTCTATCAATGTATTTGTACAGTTTATAACGAAATAAAATAAAATAAATGGTAAATAAGAAGTAACACAATCAAATAAGTAAAATCACTAGTGGATGTTCTCCTTGTTCCTGTCCCTAGTGTGGAATTTGGGGCTCACTGGGTTTGTGCACTTCTTCGCGGGCTTAACGGTCACCTCCTTGTATTTTTTAATGGGTTGGGCTTTCAGTTCGGCTTGTTTCCTCAACCTCGCCACCTCCTCTTCCTCCCGCCTCCTCAATAGCTCCTCGGCCTGCCGCTGTTTGGCCTCTTTTGCCGCCTCTTTGGCTTTGAGGGCCTCCTCAAACTCGCGTCGCTTTTCAAGTCTCTCATTGGTGGAAAACTGGAATTCTTCGACTACAATTCCGTGGTTTTCGCACTTTTTCGGCTCGAACGGCTTCATAGTCAAGACTTTGGCAGGTCGCGCTTTGAAACTTCCAATATTCAACTCCTCGGTGCTTCGTTTCTGCAAAATTGGATTTTATTACAACAAACTGGAATTTTTTTCTAACTTACGAATGATTTTGATCCAGGATCGCTAATGTTGTCCTGACTGTTGTTCCGCGACCGGAGGATGGTCCTCGGGACTGGTCTTGCGTGAAACTCGCGGGCTTTCTTCTCCTCCTCCAGGACTTTACTAATGAATTCTTCCTTCTTCTTCATGAGTTGTTTGTCGCGTTGCTCGAAGCTGAAAGGCACGACTTGGGTATTCGTCGGTTTGAAGACGACTTTCGGAGCCTCCTCTGGTTTCGCAACTGTTGGTTTCGCTTTGGGGGCTTTCTTGCAAAAGTTGGGGGATTCGGGTTTGGTCGGGGCCTGTCCTTTCGGCTGGACTTTAAACGGGTTGTGCAAGCTTTTGGGCACTGGTTGGGCCTTGAATACGGGGGCTGTTGTATCGGGCTCCTCCTCGGACTTCTTCCTCGCTTCGGTCAAGTGGAACGGTTCGACCACAGTTGCGGGTTTTTTGTCCACAGGGGGCTTCAAGGGCCCCCTCAAGACTTTCTTGTTCACGGGATTTGCTTTAATCTTGAACCTGGAATAAATGAGTGATTTCGGGGATGGTCTCGGTTTCGACTCACTTTTTCGCCTCTTCAAACTCGCGTTCTTCTTGTTCTTGTTTCGAGAGGGCTGTGACTGGACGTACTCGAGTGTTTGTGAGGAATTTGGGGGTGTGTGGTTTAGTGAGTGCGAGTTTTTTGTTGTTGGGTTTTGAACGGAAACGTTTGGGGGTCCCGGATTGGAATTTATTGACGGCTTCTGCTAAAGTCATGGACGAATTATGAGACAAGTTATCGTGGGATGTGTAACGTTTAGGTTGGGCTAATCTATTGATGTGGTCCTACAAAAAACAATAACTATTTGCTTTTAAATTAATGATTTGGGTACCCTTGAGACTGTTTTTCGGCTGTTGAGGGAACAAGTGGAATTGGGTCTTGGGGGTGGATGATCATTCAGACATAACTCATCCATGGCACGTCTGAAATAATATATTTAGATGACAAAAATTACAAGTCAAGACTTACTCAAGTCCATTTTGATTTGGCACTTTATCAACTTTTAAATTACCCATACTTAGAGATCTCCTTAGTCGGCATTTCAAATAAACGGTGGAGTTATTCAACGCTGGAAATGAAACATTTAGAACTGCAAAAACACAAATTGGGCAACATACCTGGATTCTCCATGGGAGAATAAAAATGGTCACTTTCCGCATCAGACAACTCCTGTTCGAACACTTCTCCATTGCGAATGGCGTTTTCCTCGAATGGATCGTTTTCCGTGCCATTTTTTTCTAAAAAAATGTGTAAAACCACAAAAAGACTTGTGTTAAACTCACCAAAGTAGGAGTCGTTAGGGTCGTCTTGATCCTGACAAAAATCGAAGTATTGTCGGGCGTTTATAGCATCATATGCCTCCGCCATGGTTTTTGTAAAAATTTCACCAGTTTTCAGGCCACAAAAACAAACTTCGAGGAGGATGAAGCACTGATTAATCTGCAAAACCGTTGCTTTGAGTTTAAAATGCTAAAAGCGCGCTTGCGTCAAAATGGGGCGATTTGATTGGTTCTTTCCATCAGGTTTTTAAAACGAGGAAATATAAAATTATAACCGATTAATAAATTAATTTCAACAATATATAATCTGAACACATGCTATTGAGTTTTCTTATAATATTTCAAAAAAATTACAAAACCCAGTAATTTCAATTACATTTAATCTTTTTTGACATATGCAACCAAAAATACACAACATCAACTTAAAAATTGATTCTAAAGGGCGCGAATTTTGAATAAGAATTCAACTTTCCCGAAAACTAAACATCGAATGCGATTTTTTTACATAAAAAAATATACATCTTTTGTTTTTTAGCTTAAAAACAAAACAATAATAAACACAAAGATAATTACAATTTCGGAATTATTAGCTGGTATAGACTCTAAAATTTTGACAAAATTGAAAACATAAAAACTTTAAAATTAATTTAAATGAATTCCTTTTTAGACTTTTAAAGATATAAAAAAAAGTGAATACCGCGTTGTAAAAACGCAAGAAACAAATTTTAGAAACATTTTCTGTATACAGTGTGATTCAAAAAAAATTGTCCAATTACGCGGTTTACTTCTAGAACCATCAAATTGCAAACAAAAATTTTGAACCAACCTTCCTTAAATAAATATCTGTTTAAAAATGCAATTTCTTTATTATTTATTATTATTTTTTTTTGTTATTTAATGACGGTAATTTTGTATTTTAATAGTAAAAGACTTTAAAAAATGTATCTGGAATATTGAAAAATGAATAAAATTATAAGACTAATAAGTAAAACATGCATCAAATTCTCAGTTAAATGTAGAAATTTGGGTAAATTTGGTAATAGCACAATAAAAATTTGTTCGTTTCTATAGTAATAAACGTTTCAAATTATTGAATGCAGGCACAAAGCGGTTCAAAATGTAGTTAGTGCAGCGTTGCCAGTTTCAATATTCATAGTTTTAAAACCACGCAACTTAAATAAATTATAACCAATTAATAAATTAATTTAAATATTAAATAATTTAGACACATGCTATTTAGTTTTTTTATAATATTTCAAAAAAATCACAAAACCCAGTAACTTTAATTTCATTTAATCTTTTTTGACGTATGCAATTAAAAATACACATCGTCAACTTAAAAAGTGATTATAAAAAGGCGAATTTTAAATAATAACGAAATTTTTCCGGAACTCAAAAAAAAATTGAATGCGATTTTTTCAAATAAAAAAAAACGTTAGTAATAATAAATAATAAAAATATACTTATCCTTTGTTTTTTTGCTTAAAACCTCGTAAAAATAATAAACACAAAGTGTTTACAGTTTTGGAATTATTAGCTGGTATAAACTCCAATATTTTGACAAAAATTAAAAAAATAAAAATTTTAAAATTAATTTAAATAATTTTTTTTCTAGACTTAGATACATTATAACCAATTAATAAATTAATTTGAATATTAAATAATTTGGACACATGCTATTTAGTTTTGTTATAATATTTCAAAAAAAATCCCAAACCCAGTAACTTTAATTTCACTTAATGTTTTTTGACGTATGCAATCAAAAATACACATCGTCAACTTAAAGAGTGATTATAAAAGAAGGCGAATTTTGAATAATAACTAAATTTTCCCGAAAAAAAACATCGAATGCGATTTTTTTCACATAAAAAAACGTTAGTAATAATAAATAATAAAAATATTCTTATCCATTGTTTTTTTGATTAAAAATAATAAAATCAAACGTGTTTACAGTTTCGGAATTATTAGCTGGCATAAACTCCAAAATTTTGACAAAAATTGAAAAAATAAAAACTTTAAAATTAATTAAAATAAATTTCTTTCTAGACTTCTAGAAGATATAAAAGACTAGGAAAAGTGGATAAAACGCTGTAAAAACGCAGAAAATAAATTTTTGAAAAATTGTGTATATACAGCGTGATTCAAGCAAAGCGTACAATTACGCGGGTCACTTCAAATTGAAAACAAAAATGTTTTACCAACTTTCCTTAAATAAATAGATGTCTCTTTAAAAATTTAACTTCAATTATAATTTTTTTTATTCATTAAGAACAGTAATTTTGTATTTTATTAGTAAAAGACGTTAAAACACTCATCTGGAATATTAAAGAAATGAATAAAGTTTTAAGAATAGTAAGCAAACATTCATAAAATCTCTGTCAAATGTAGAAATTTGGGTAAATTTAGCAACAGCACAATAAATATTTATTGGTTTCTATAGTAACAAGTGTTTCAAATTATTGAATGCAGACACAACGTGGTTCAAAATGTAGTGCAGTGTTGCCAGTTGGTGCTATCTTAAAATATTGATATTTTTAAAACCTCGGAGCTTAGAAAAATTATAATAGTAAATTTGAGCATCTATTAACGATTATTATCAGTTTATAATAGATTGTCGGACCTCACTGGGTTTTGGATTATAGCAGAGATCCTGGCCGGGGGCATAATGGCGCAGTGACATAGAATTTTTTATTAAAATTTTTTTTTTTAGTTTTACGTGTCTTGCAACTTGAATGAAAATCTCGGTCTCAGTTTGCCTTCTTGTTATTCCAGACGCTCCTCTTCAGATATCGCCGAAAGTGCGCGATAAGAAAGCCGCGTGTTGGTGATAATTTTGATGCGCTTTTCCATACCCCAATTCGCGCAAATCGTGACACTTTCCGGCCATCAAAATTCCGGAAATGTCCCAACAATATAAAAACAAGCTCATCATCGCCACTTTTGTTACTTCCAACCCGACATTCGACGATGAAAATTTTGCTTTTGGTGCTCGTTAGTGTCGGATTTTGTGAACTGATTCATCGCGAGAGTGTGGTTCGAGTTAGGGAGGAAGCGGGGCCCGGGGGCGTATGGCAGACCAAAACCCAGTGGAAGGCCCATTGGGTCAAGCATTGGGAGACGCGAAAAGTGGGTATAATTTCAAAGTGGATTTTTGGTGATGAGTTTTGCAGATTTGGATACCGATTTGGAGAAAGGTGTGGGGGCCCGTGGAGGTGAAAGAGTGGATTCCTCTACCCAAACCGCCCCCGAGTTGGACCCCACCGCCATCGTAAAACACATGACTCTTTACAATTGTACGCTTTACACTTTATTGCTGTGTAGTATGAAAGACAAATAAATTATTTATTTATTAAATTGGTTTTATTGGAGAAATTTGGTTTACGAGTCCGCTGCAATGAATATAAATGACGTTAATGGAGAGAAAAGTGCAATATGCCACATTTTAGCGCATGTTGATTTTTATAATTTTTACTAAATGACTTTCATTCGAGTGAAAAATCGATGTAATGAAATAATTATTTTTTTCTCTATGAGATCATTCCAGAAGTGAAAGTCCCGATAATGTCACACATGTGGACTGATAATCCAAAAGTTGTTAATTGATTAGTGCAGTACCGCTAATTAACTTTCACCCAAGGCTGGAGAAAAGAAACTTCAAGTTTGATTTTTTTATTTCACAATAAAAAAATAACAAAACGCAACAATAAACGTTAAATAATAAGTCAGTCGAGTTGTAACATGCAATAAAATAACTAAAATCTAAATATATACAAATTAGGTACTGTTACGAGGACGGGAACGACCAGTTCTTCCCCTGGACTTGACTTTGATTTGGCACCTGAGTCGAGGGCACCGTCACCAGCGGCGCCGTTTTGCTCTCACTAGTTTTCACGTCGCTTCTGTCCCATCCATGGTGGTGGTGGTGGTCGTGATGGTCTGGCGTCGGGAACCATTCTTTGATAATCACAGGTCGCCAGATCATTTTCCACCCAGGGACCCAGATTTCCTTCCAGGCGGGGACCCAGATCTGTTTCCAGGCTTCCTTCCACGACAATTTCTTGTCTTCCACCCAAATTTGCTTCTTTTCGGTCCTCCAAACCTGCTTCCAGGCTTCTTTCCATTCTAGTTTCTTATCAGGGATCCAGATTTGTTTCTTCTCGGTGCGCCAAATCTGCTTCCAGGCTTCCTTCCAGACTAGTTTTTTGTCCTCGACCCAGATTTGCTTCTTCTCGGTGCGCCAAATCTGTTTCCAGGCCTCTTTCCATTCGAGTTTTTTGTCAGGGATCCAGATTTGTTTCTTAGCCGGTTTCCAGTATTTCTTCCAGACCGGTTTCCAAATCATTTTTTTCTTCCAAATGTCATGGGCGGTGTATTCATTACCGTGATGGTCCTTGCCGAGGTAGTGTTCACCATGGATGCCTTCCTTGACCCAGACTGGATACCACAGTTTTTTCCAAGCCGGGACTTGGATTTCTTTCCAGGCAGGAACTTGTATTTCTTTCCAAACCGGTTTCCAGATCTTTTTCCAATCAGGGACTTGGATTTCCTTCCACGCTGGTACTTTTATGGGCTTCCAAACCGGTTTCCAGATTTTTTTCCAGTCAGGCACTTGAATTTCCTTCCATGCGGGTACTTTAATTTCCTTCCATACTGGCTTCCAGATTTTTTTCCAATCAGGAACTTGGATTTCTTTCCAGGCGGGTTTCTTCGTCGGTACCCAAATTGGTTTCCAGATTTTTTTCCAGGACGGTTTCCAGATTTGTTTCTTGCCGGGTTTCCAAATCTTCTTCCAGTCTTTCTTCCAGATAACTTTCTTCTTCCAGTAGCCTGGATCGTGGTGGTCATGATGGTCATCATGGTGCTCCTCATGGTGGATGTCATGATGGTCATCATGGTGCTCCTCATGGTGGATGTCATGGTGTTCCTCAGGATGGTGTTCGTCATGGTAGACATGTTCTTCACTATGATGGGGTGGAAAACTGTCATAGCCTACTCGTTTCTGTAATCTATTTCAAATCAAAAAATTTTGGTTGTAAATTTAGGATTTGGACTTACTGTTGACTCTCGACTGCTTGTTGGTCTTGTGGTTTAGTACTTGTTTCAACTGGCTTACTAGTCGTCCAGGAAATTTGTAGTATTACCCAAAGGGCAATCTGGAAAAGATTGAATTAATTACAATTAATTGAATTAACTCTTCTTCATTTAATTAAATCACGGTTTGCTTTCACCGAATTAAATTAAAAAATCCGTTTGTTGTCTTCGAAGCGTAAAGTCCTTAACACAGTTTCACTAACCACTAGGTTCCGGTGGACCCTCATGGTGTAGGAGCCACAGGAGCGCCTCGTTCTTCACTGAAGAAAAACTCTTAACTCGTTGCTGTGTTTAGTGTGGTGTTTGTTTTATAGCTTTGGGTGTCTTCAGGTGGGGTGTCCACTTTCCCCAAGCAAGGCCAAGGCACAAGGCTAGGAGGAAAGTGAGATTTTGGTTCTGCGGTGTTAAAATCAGCCTCAAACGGTTTCGGATGGCCCTTCGTCCTTCCATAATTATCACTTTCGTTAATTGGTGCAGAGAAAATTCACAGATCACTTTCACACACGTCGCCGGCGTGTGGTTATTGCTCGCGAGACTTGTTTATGGGATAATTCGACGGTCAGTGCACTTTTTATTAGGTTTTGACGATTGAGAAGAGAAAAAATGAAACAACAATTTCTCTTGTTGTTTATTTAATCGGAGTTTGTTTGAAGTCGATTTTGCGGGATTTGTTAGTAAGACGACAAAGACGCGGAAGAGAAAGCCAATAAAGAATTTTGCATTAGGCAAATTGAAAAATCCATCGGATATTTTGTACTTATTTCAGTGAAAACGTCGGTGAATGTTTTGTTTTCTTACAAGGAAGTCGATGGCGAAAAAGTGCAAGAAGTTACGACTCGTCTACGTGATTAAAAAAGCGATTGCATGAGTGGAATTGGGCCCCTATTTTGCTTTCAAGGTCACAATTTAAAACTATTTTTTTTTATTTAAATTATTTAAAATTTTAAAATGAATTTCAGGGTCGAATGTTAAATTTTCTGCAGGACGGAGAAAATAATTAAGAAAAATTTTTGTAGTTGCAATAAAAAAGCACTGAAACAATACGACCTTTTCTATGCAAATTTATTGTATTTTTAAATTATCTAACAGTTCCACTTAATTGTACTTTCTCCATTATGCTGTAAAATAAGAATTGCATTTCTTTAATTAATATTGTTATTGTCCAAACGTGAATTAAAAAAAAAATTAAAAATTGAAATACGAAATTTGTTTTCTTTAATAATAATAATAATAGTTTTAATTTTTCTATTTGTACAAAGTAAAATACGTTACAAACCTAAATCGGTAACTGTACTTTTGACAAAAGAAAATAAAAATATAACACTACTACTATTTTTAATCGAGTTAGACAAAGACAGATTAATACCAAATTTTATTAGACAAATAAAGAGAGAAAATAACAGATCATTGCACAATGAATAAATTTTTGCTCAAGTAGCTTAGGATGTTTACACTGTTTGCAATACTGATTAAGAGAGAGAAGAAATGCAATTTGACACATTAATATTTTCTATCTTTATTTTATTATATCATACAATTTTACCAACTTAATCTCAGAATCACAGGTTAATTATTATTGATTATTATTTGTAAGAATTTAGATTTTGAGACTTAATATTGAATATTAAAAAAGTAACAATAAATCGAAGAAAAATTACAAGACTGGTGTAGTTATAGGTATGAACAGCAAATTTTCTAAACCAACTATGATTATTTTATAATTTGTTCTACTTTTATTCTCAAAATTTTGCAAAAATGAAAAACTTAAAATTTCATTTAAAAGTTTTGGATTCGCAAACTTTTAGGTCGTGAATAAAATAACACACATTGTCTACCACCAAACGTTTTTTACGACGCGTTTCGACCACAAAGTGGTCATTCTCAGGTTAAGTTAGAATAAAGAATTTTCAGTATTTTATTATTTTTTTTATTTAAAATTTTTTTAAAATTTTTTAAAATGATAACTAGAATTTTATTATTTTATTATTAGTATTATTTTTTAGTTTTATTATTTTTTATTCAACTTTTTAAGCGACCTTTTTTTAGAAAATATGTTTTATTTTTTTAACAAACTTCAAAGATGTTTTTACGACGCATTTCGAGCACCAAGTGGTCATCGCCAGGTGAAGTCAGACTTTCAGTATTTTGTTAATTTTTTTCTCATTTAAAAAATTTTTTAGGAGTAATTTTTAAAATTTTATTAGGTTTTATGCGTTTTTGGACACATTTTTTCAACTTTTTAAGAAACCTCTTTTTTTAAAAATTTGAATCATATTTAATTTTTTTAACAAACAAACGTTTCTTTCATTTTAAAGATTCTTTACTTTTTTAGAGATGATAACCAAATTTTATTAGATTTTTATACTTTTTCGACAAATTTTGTCAAATTTTTAAGATATTTTTATTCGAAAATATGAATCTTGTTTTATTTTTATAAACAAACTTAAAAAAATGTTTTTGTAGATACGTTATTTTCATTATTTTTCGCCTTTAGTTTACTTGTTTTTGTTTTCATTTTGTTAACAAAATTTTTGTTTACATTCTTATTGAAACACACAAATAAACAAAATATTTGTGAATGCATTCGCTTTTTAAATATATTTTTTATATACAGGGTGCGTCAGAACTCGCGCTCTAGAGAAAAATTTCAATTAAGATAAGATACCAGGAACATGGAAAAAATGTTTAAAAAACTCTCTGTCAAAAAATTTTGAGATTTATTTTTTGACATTTGACATTTTTTATGTCTATTTAATGATACTGATGATCTTGTATATGTTTTTTTATAATTATTTAATAATAAATATTATTTAAAATAAAATAAAGTACAAAGATTTTGCCAATAAAAGCCACAAATAGCATTAAACAGAGTTCCAATTTAGAATACAGCTTCCTTGTATCCTTTTCTAATAGACTGTAGCAAAAAAACTTGGAAAATTATTTTTCCAACAGAAATAGAGTCAAAGTGCAAAATTTAAACTCTCATAACTTCTAAATTTTTGTAGATAGATATTTTAAATATTTTTTCCATGTTCCTGGGGCTCGAGTTCTGGCGCATTCTGTATTTATGGATTAGGTATTATTTATAGGTTTCTGTTAGAATTTTTTTTCAGAAATTAAAATAACAAGATCTTAATACACTTGACGTAATTTTTATTTGCTCTTATTAGTTTAGAAAAAAAAAAAACAGTAAAATGTAACAATCATGTTTTTTTTTATTCATTATTTTGTCAGCAGTTTCTGAAACGGCTTCGATTTTTTCTTCAGTGCAGGTCACTAACCCATTTCTAATTCCACCCACCAAAACGGAATCTCCTTTCTCGGTGGACCTGGAGGTCCCGGTGAAAGTATTTAAATAACTCTTCGAATTTTTCAAGTTTGAAGCACTTAATCTTGAACTTGGGCCAATGCCCTCGAACTTGTCACCCGAGATGGCATCTCATTGAAAAGTGAAGCATATTTCATGCTCCACTTCTCATTACCGCACTGTTACTCAATGAGCCAATTCTCTTCGCCTATTGAAAAAAAAAATCGCAAATAGAGATCTTTAACAGGTGTGTTCAAGCGTCATAAAGCAGAGCACATCTGTGTGATACAAGAGACGAGTTTTTCAGAGAAAATATTTTTTCAGTCCGGTCATTTAGTAAACAAATACGGGAAGGTCGGTTTTTTCCAACATGGTCACTTTCCCTGCTTCTTGCAACACAAACTTTCCTCGGAATTCGCGTTGGAACACTACAAACGGAAGATACAGATAGTGAAATAGAAATCTGACTTTCCATGGCTTTTTGGCCATCGAAAGGAAAAGCGTTTGTGACACAATGAAGTGACGCAATGTGTTACGAAGTGCAGGGCCGAGGTTTTGAAGAAAGTGGTCCATTATTCGCTAATCGAAATTCAAACATTTCTCCGATTTGTAATCATATGCAGAAATCTGTTTTCGGATATGTTGGGGATTTTTTCTAAATGTTTGTAATTTCTAATTATGGGAGCACTTTCTTCGTGCCTGCTGGAAAATTCCAACATTAAGCGAGTCGAGATTAGATTGGAGATAAATAATGGATGATAATAATTTAAGATTTAGTGAGCTGTTGGTTTCAATGTTAATGTCAGAACTCACAGTTACGCAACGGTCACTTTCGTCGAACGACGAGGCAAGGTCGAAAGCTCTTAAGGAACAAATTTAGTCTTAAAAAATTGAAAGTTCGAAATTATTTGTTTAAAAATCAGAGGAAAATTTGAAACTACAATTAAACTAATTTATAACAGTTATGAATTGCTTTCTACTTTTCTTTTACTGGATGAAGAAAATGGGCGGTTTTAATAATGCTGATAAAGTGAATAAGTATGAATTTTAACAAATTTAAATACATTTATTGTGTATTTTCATAGAAAAAAAATATATGCACACTGAAAAAATTGCACGAAAAAAAAAGAACTCCCATGCTTCTGTTTAAAACTGAAGCGTGAACTGAAGTGTGGTGCAAAAACGCAAAAACGCTGAAACAGGTCAATTTTGTTTCCGAGGGGGACATTTTTTGACGTAATTTTTAAAGCACCTCCAATAACCCCCTAACCCTCATGCACCCCAACCTTAAAAATTTAAATAGCATTTACCCTACTTATGGCACATCATATGAAAGCTATTTTAACAAGCTTTTCAAAACTTTCTACAAAAATTAAATCAGACCATTCATTCATGAGATACAGGGTTTTCTAATAAAAACGAACCAGAAAGAATTTGCAAAAAAAAAGAAACAGGTTAATTTTGTTTTTAAAAGGTCCTTTTCTACGCAATTTTAAAAGCACCTTTACTAACCCTTTAACCTTTATGCCACTTAACTCTAAAATGTCAAATAGCACCAACCACTAGTGATACAAAAAATGAAAACTAGTTTAAAATTTGAGACTACAATTAAACTAATTTATAACAGTTATAAATTGCTTTCTACTTTTCTTTTACTGGATGAAGAAAATGGGCGGTTTTAATAATGTTGATCAAGTGAATAAGAATGAATTTTAACAAATTTAAATACATTTATTGTGTATTTTCATAGAAAAAAAAAATATATGCACACTGCAAAAATTGCACGAAAAAAAAAAAGAACTCTTATGCTTCTGTTTAAAACTGAAGATCAAAAAAATATATAAAACTCATAGATTTTGGAATATTTATTACACTTACACACTTTATTTTTTCCACAATTAAAGCACCGAGAAAAAAAAATTAATTTAACTCTTAAGAATTTTAAACGTAGTGTGTGGTGGATAAAAATGCCACTTTAAGCACTAGTGCGTAAACGTACAGGGTGGTGTTT